TATGGAGATAGCGAATTCAAGCTCAAAAGTTCATTTAACATTACAACATAGGTGCAGAGCAAACACGGACCTCCAGAACATCAGAGGTGGGATCAGGTGCCATGGAGGATGTTGATAGTATTCTGTATTTATCATTGCAATTCACTTGATTTCAACCACAAAGATCGTATTTTGAAAAACAAATAGATTTTTTGAAATTTCAATATTTATTTGTGTTTATTTCATTGATTTTTACATTCAATTTCCGATTGACACCTTTGCCTCCTAATGCAGATTCAGCATTAAGCGTTGTAATCCCCGATCTGGCTATCCTATTAGGGTTGACCGGGTCCTTTACCAGATTTCTCGGTTTCATTATTCAATTCTTGAGATAGGATTCCTTGTCCAGTGGTTGCCATACTTGCATTATGTAGAACCGAATAAAAAATTGTAATTTATGGAAAAAATTCTTGACACGTCCCTAAAATGGTAAACCATTTTCTCAAAATTATCGTCTCACTGCCAAGTCAAAAAAAAAAATCAATTATTATTGACCAATTAATTATTTCAAAACTCGGACGACTCACAGGTGTAGTGTAAGCACCCAATGAACACGCCCATGCTAGCCCAGACTGATCACTGTTATCCTGTTAAGTCAAAGCTGCATTAATTTTTTTTTGCTTGATTGGCGTGTATGAACAATCAAAACTTTGAGAGATAGAGAGTAAAAAACAATGAAATGTGTGTAACGGAACCCAGGTCTTGGTTGGAGAAATAGAGAAGTTCAAGAGATCATGAGTAAATTTGCTTAGTTATATAGAGAAAAAAACCCAGACAGGAGGTTCACTTCGAGAGATCGAGAACTTCGAGTCATAGGAATTCTGTCGAGGCATAATGATTCATCATAAAACGTGATATAATAATTTTCTTTTATAATCTGGTTTACCTTATTTTGAGATAAATTGATGGTCATACATGAAAGGTCATGTACATTTTAGTCGTTAATTTGGGGAAAAAAAAGATCAAATCATAAAAGTCATGAAGATGATTTGTTACCATGGGCTATTTTTCATGAAATATGGAGATAAGGAAAAGATATCTAGCTCAAAAGTCCAGTTAAACAATACAAATTTTAGCAGTCTAAAAACATCAGAGGTGGAATGAAGCGCCATGGGTGAATAAGCATCTCTTATCACACCCGCCGTGAGCCATGATCTTGGAAACGGGAGAAATCCATAGACAATTTTGTGTGTAAATAATGGCCTTCCAATTTATATGAAAAACCTAAGTCAGTATTAATGATAAACCTTATGATAAATTGTATTTGCTGACAAGATCATCTTATCGACAATAGAATTTGCGAAATGTTGACTTTAAACGAGACTGTTGATATCCTTGTTTCATGTACTTGTTTGTCAGTAGCTGGCTTCGTTTAAGAAATTGTTCGTATATAGAGCATGCTCTTGTTTATCGTATCAATTGGGAGACATAAACCCCATATGCAGGTAATAAAGGTATATTGCTACATAAGTAAGGGAAGTTGACAATAGAAAAGTTGGTCATAAAGTTTATCATAAAGATTTGTTGTTAGGTAACCATTAACGTCTTTTTCTAGTAAAATATCCCCCCCCCCCCCAAAAAAAAAAAAAAAAAAACAAAAAAAAAAACAGATGTGCCAGACTCAGTGGTATCTTTTATTTAACGTTCCGTGGGATATATCGAGTCGACATATGAATGGAAGTAACTATTGTTAATTGATAATACGTCGTCAATATATCTAATTGTCGAATTGGGGCCACAGTAAGTTTCTTCTTCCTTTCATGTATGAGTTTTTGGATAAATCCTATTTCATATGAATATAGAAATCGGTCTTCTTCTAACGGGGTGCAATTTGTACCCACTGGAATTCCGACAAATTGTGGGAAGAACTGATTTCCAAAATTTACATATCTATATTGTATCAGAAACTCAGACATATTTTTGATATAAACTTTGGCATACATGTGTCTACAATCAGAATGTGTTTTTAACAAAATAATGTTGCAAATGACAAATTAAGGTAAGTAAATTAACGAGTTCGTTTTTTATTGAAAAAGCAGCTGTCTATGATGTCAAAAAGCATTGTCTTAAATTTTTGATTGGGAATGATTGTATAAAGTTATTGATTTTGGTAAAAGTTTGTGAGTTCAATTTTTTTTAAAATGTTCCTTGCAGTTTTTAAGTATCCACATCTGATTTACACAACTTTTCGAGTATATTGTTGTACAGTACTCCTGAAGTTTCTCCTTCACTGCTTTTAATATTTTGGTAAGGAGTAAAGAAAGACGCTTAGAAGAACATTTACTGGAACCCGCTATGTATTTTTGCTTGTAAGGATTTTCATGAAATGTAGGAATCCAGTATAGGTATACTAATTCAAATTCATTTTGATTTTTGGGAATATTAAAAATATTTAAAACTGACATAGATTTTGAAGAATTTCCTCCTTAGAAAGAGAGCTATAGGTATAAGTTGAATTGAGCCTTACAAACAGAGACAATGTTATTATCTGCTTTGCAGCTGGGGGCTTTGCATATACTGATCGTGTAATCTATATAATTCTCTTTCCCCTTCTGAATTATTGAAGACAGAAGGATAGATGGCTCTCACATTGCCCCTGAATCGCTCCATGCGAGATTTCAAAATCCATCTGATACTTTCAATCAATTCTGACAAGGTGTTCTGTTGATGTTTAGCCCATCGCCTGGAGTAATCTTCCACAGAATTCATTATATTCATGAAATTGTGATGCCTGTTGAAACATCGGGGTTCTCTAATTTTTGGCCCATTTAAAATAAGTGCTTTAAGGTCCTCATTATTATCTATATTTACGTCACCAGTTAAGACGTTTCCAGCAGGACAATAGTTGAAGGGTGAAGAAGAACTTGAACACGTTGGATGTGTATGTTTCAGATGTTCGATATCTAGGCACTGTAAAGTTTTTTTTGTATTTAGTTTGCAAGCAATAGTTGATGTATATTTGTAAGAAATACAAAATGTTGACTTCAACTTGAAATATGGTGGAATATAAGACTGTACTCTTTTGTGACTAAGAATGTTACTTATATCAACTGCGTCAATCCTTTGTTGGCAAATTGAAGTTTAAGGAAGAAACGGGTTGCTTGAGTAATTTTCTCTTCCATATAACGTGGCGGTTTAAAAGCCTGTGCTATGCATTATACATAATCACAGATCCGAGCCTATGTTATATGACACTGCCTAAAGATCATATCCTAAAAGTGAAAATATTTTAAGCAATGTAACTAAAACATTGTAAGGCATTTTTTCCCAAACTGATACGGTAAAACTGGAAGACATGGCTGTGTTTTTAATTTCACTATAATCGCGATTGAGGAATTTCCACGAAAATAAAGTCATCGTGAATATTATTGACATATCAATGAAGTGTTTAATTTTCTATACACATCCTGTTTTTTTTTTTTTTTTTTTAAATTTTTAACAGTAAAACAGAATTCATTGAAAATTATTTTAGGAATGACTCTAATTCTTGGCCAAATTATTCGAGTATAACCTGGTTTGGGTCAGTTTACGCTTTATAATCCGCGAAGCGGATTATAAAACAGCGTAAACTGACCCAAACCAGGTTATACTCGAATAATTTTGCCAAGAATTAGAGTCATTCCTTATAATTTAATTCTAAAATCTTTAAACAACTGTTGGTGTAAAATATTTCGTTGCTTTTTATTAGTTCAAATTTGCCGCTCAATAATACAACCCTAGTAACGGAAGTGATGGGAAGCAAGGGGAGGTAAAAACTGATACATAGTCCTAGCAGCCATGTTTTTTGTTTACATGTACAGTGTAGTAAGATCCGAGTTACTGTTTACATTTATTAAATCTGGAATTTTCCATGAATCCCGAGGACTGGAAATGAGAGGATTGCATGGATACAGACGATTCAGCTGGTTGTCAGGGGGGGGGGGGTGTCCCCATACCAAACCAGGTTATACAGATATAATTTGTGTTCATTTTTGGATATTAACCAATCAGAGGCTAGAATACAAACAAAATTAAATTATTAGGATATACCCAAACTTAATAACAATGGCGAGTTAAAGTTAGTTACTTGATATATATATTTATATTAAATAATTAATGGATATATTATGTTAAATAATTTACCAAAACTTTATTCCTTTTTTTAAATAGTAATATAATTGCAAATACATAGTAAATAAAAATTCAGTGTCCGTGAAATAAAAAAAATCGTGAATTGTACCAACAAATGAAATAGTGAAATATTAAACACGCTAAGTTAAAGACGTTTACAGTAACAAGGAGAATTTAATACTTAACACAATTCTCATTCTTGCCTAGACTATTTGTCATGTTGTTAAATTATGGACACAGCTTAAAAGCATGCCACTGTGATTTTACATTAAATCTTGGACAGTCCCATTTATCTATAACCGTATTACTTGTTACCTCACTAAACTGTGGTTTTACTGAAAGTATATTTCATAAATGAAAGGTTATATAACAAAGGTGAGGGTTGTTTTCTTCTTGGCTCTAACAATTGAGTTAGGTCCTATTTAACTATGAAGGCAAATTGATGATGGATTGATTACTTTAATTGAATTTTGAAATATAATAGATAAAAGGATATATTCAGTAATACATTAGACGATAAACTTTCTAGTTTTTGGTCAGATTCTTGAATTATCTTTTATTTTTTTTTTACGATTATTATTGCAAATCTGAAAAGATAAAACTTGATCATTATGCCAAATTCCAAAGAATATAGATAAAATTGTTTACAAATATTGTTTAGAGTTTGTTATGATAAAGGTAAAAAAATTGAAATTACTCATATGGTGTCTGATTCCCCTCTGATATTTCCACAGATCCATGTTTGTTCTGTATTTGAATTGTTTTTTTTAACTGTGAACTTAATAACTGATCGTTACTTTTACATTTCATTTAAAAACAATTATATTTAACTTTTTACATATTTCGACCAGATAGCAGTGCTGAACAGAAAGCTTCAGTATGTATCGGGGTCCGTAACCAGAATGGATCTTATGAACCCTTGCCTCTACGCTGTAATGAATATCATACCTCCATATGCAAGAATGCTGACATAACGACAGGTTACTATAAAATCTTATCTATTACGTTTTCATAAATGAGAGCTACAGTGCCACCCATTGAAAAAGTGTATATATATTTTGCGCACAAAAAAGTGTAATGTTTTATTGTGCACAATATATACACTTTTTTCAATGGGTGGGACTGTGGCTCTCCGGTCGTCCATACCAATTTTTTAGACAGCGAGCTACAGTACAGATCTGCAGCTATCCTTAGTATATAAGAAATAGCTTAAGAAAAAAGAAATATGTCAGTCATTTTCCAAAAGGCTATTGAGCTTTATTTCCGTTCGTTATCTTCATATTTAATGATGATGATTTAACAAGAAACTTTAAAAAAGCGGATCACAACAAAATGTGAAGAGCATATATAAATATAAAATACAAGGCTACTGTCTTGAAATATAAGCTATATTTGGTCGAGGGTAAGAAAACGTGATAGAAGGCGAGGCTTGCCGAGCTCTCTATCACGTTTTTGACCCGAGCAATCAAACCATTTACTTTTGAACTTTTAATGCATTTTATTGCATGTGTATCCTACTGAGTACCTACATGTGTATCCTACTGAGTACCTCTTCCTTTGCATGAAAAACATTGATTGTCTCTAGAACTTGTGAATAATTGGGATATTTTAATGCAGTTACAACTTCACCGCCTACTACAAGCTCTGGTCTCAGAACATTGAGGGGACAAACGACGTTAGTGCACCAGATTACAAGTTCATCTCCTGTTTATCGTCAGAGAGATAACGAAGGTAACTGTACCAACATACCACATACTTTATTTTTACAACTGTTTCAATAGAGAGGTTTCTTTATTGACTGGTTTAATCTCAAGCTACATATAGCTAACATTATTCTCTATTGAGAAGTTGATGGCTCATATTTATACTCCCCCTCAACTTCTCTACGAAAGGCCTAATAAAAGCGTTCAGAAATTGACTACATGAGGAAGCAAACCGGGTCCCACTTCGATCGATGTTTTAGGTCTGATGCGATATCATAGACGTAGTCTGGATGCACAGATGTTGAGGGGGAGTATAAAAACGAGCCATCAACTTCTCAATAGAGAATAAGTTAACATTTGTTTCATAAGCCTCTATGCTGTAACGAAACTCATACCTCCATATGCAAGAATGCTGACATAACGACAGCTTACTGTAAAATTTTATCTCTTACGTTTTCATCAAATAAATGTTTAAAATAACCCCCTTAAAATAAAAAAAGTATAACAATCAGTCGTGTGTGAGCAACGAACACCGTGTTTTCTTATTATTACGGAACATTGATATTCTTTTAAATGGGCAAATTCGAAAAGAGTTTGTTAAATATTGGAATAGTATGAAAACTCCGAAAGAAGAATTGAAACGCCAGTGATCACTCCTATCACCAAGATAGACCATGTATATCACTATGTTGACCCACTTGCTCGCGATATTCATCTTGCTAGAAAGGAAATTGTTGGGCTTAGGTAAAAATGATTTGAGAGAAGGTAGACGAATAACCGAACTCGGTACCCTTGCAACTAAGAAGTGTAAGAGATGCTGACAGCCTCTGCATTTGTTCTATTGTGTGGGAGAGACAAGATTCGGACTCGCTCATCTTCAATTGCAGTGTAAATACCAGGAATGTAGGCAACTTAATGATGTCCCAACTGGGAAAGGCATCTATAGCTAACAGAAAAGGGTGGAAAGGTATGGGGTATTGATACGAATGTAGCAGTAGGTAAGTACTTTTGAATGTTATTTAAAACACATGCATTTCAGTATTTCATTTCAGTGAGGATTAGGGCTGTGCAATAATATCAATATTCTGGTATATTGAGATTCATTTACAAAAAATATCGTATTGCGATACGTTTTTCCAGTACCGATATACCGGCAAACTGCTTGGGCTTCAGGTTTATAAAGTAAAATATGAAACTTAAGATGTCAGAAACGTTTTCAATCATGCCAAACAGTACCAAACGGTAAAGGTTCCCGTTGTTTGTTTGCATTTTGTTGCCAAACTGTAATGGAATCAACTAGAACTTTATTGTTACAAAGTATTTAAAAAGTTTTACAACTCTGCTTATAAATGAAGGATAATTAAACAAGAAAAGAGCATTTTACTTGTTATTCGCAATACAATTCCAAATATCGCAATATATCGCAGTACGAAAATCCCAATCGATACCCAGCCCTAGTGAAGATTGATCTATGATCAATGATTATTATTTCTTAAATTGTATTAACTTTGTAATAGTTAAGGAATGACCAATGGTGGATTTGGAGAGTCGCATTTAAATGACTTCTTAGCAGTAATAAACATTTAAGGATTTTCAAAGGAGGGTCTACAGGAAAGGAGGGAAAAGAAAGTTGGCAATACCCTGAGTAAAACAGTAGAAGAAAAGTGTCGAACCATTCTATTAGAGAAATTTGAAAAGTAAATTTATCGGTATTTAGTCAAAATAATTTGAATCTGACAGAATCTAAAATTTTTAAAATGTTCATGCAAGATAAATATTGGATCTTTGTTCAGAAGTGAAGGTAATCTTATCGTCAGCTTCGGTGGTGTCTGGCAAAAAGGAGAACTTAAGGAGTGCTTAATATAGCCTTACAGGTATTTTTAATGTTAAAAAATAATCAATTAACCTGATTTCTATTCTGATTTTGGTAGCTTAACTTTTCACTGAATTACCAAAATGTGATCATACAAAGTATTTATTGCTATTGAATATTTCTCTTTCATGTTTGAAGGACATGTAAGTTTGATGGGGGAAAACCCCATAAATGTGTTGGTTATGCCATGAAGTGAAAGAAATGCAGAATATGTGACGCAATGGAATGTGAGATGGTGCAACGCATAAAATATCAATGTTTGTAATATTCTTTCCATCAGGATAGTTATTTAGAAATCTATTTTTGGCCTTTTTATTATAATAACTTCTAATCTTTATAATGAAATGTTAGAAGGTCAGCACATTAGTTATGGACAATGATTCCACAACTATAGCCGGTAACTGTTGATCCAGATATAAAGAAAAAGGTGGACAGCAACATGAAAAAAAGGTTTGCTGGAAGTCTTTTTGAAGTCAGCAATACCCGCAAAATATTGAAGAATGTTAAAGTGAGAACACACATTGAAAGATGCAGTTTATGTATTGTGTTCGACAGGTAGCTGAAGATTAAAAAAAAAGGTGGCCAGTGATCTGGGGAAAATTGTTTCTTATTTATGATAAGAATATTGTTAAACTACTTGCAAAAATAAAGAATTTATTTAATTATGTTTAGGAGACTGACAAGAAAAATTGCACTATTTCTAATTATTTTTAGAAATGAGTCTGGGTTCATGATAATGTATTTTTACAAGTATATTTAATTTAGGGAGTCATTCCATGTGTGGCACATGGTGCAGAAGTTAAAAAAACTGGGTATAAACCAATGAACCTGCCATATAACAAGTGAGCCTCTGAAATCAGCTCTAGAAAAATTGTTTGAGAAATATGCAGACAGGGCAAATGAGTTGGTGTCCATGGGGTCCACTCAAGTGAACGAAAACTTTGACCGCAATGTTTCAAGCAAAGCGCCTAAAAGATTGTATGTTTTTATTTTCAAATTTTTGAAATGAGACGAAATGCAAAACATTTACGTGTATAACGTTTGATAATTGAACTATGTCACCTAAACTATGGATACATGTAGGTTTTATTTAGGTTCATACAGAAAAGTAGGTCAAATATGTTGAAAACCAAAGAAATGTTTTATCACAAGAAATACACTTGTGAAATATGAAAGTCATAGCTCAGACCAATCAAAGATTCTGGCCAAGTTTTTTTTTTTTTTTTTTTTTTTTTTTTTTTTTTTTTTTTTTTTTTTTTTTTTTGCGGAGAGACAGCTAGACAGGGACAGCGCAAAATCTATACATCGATAACGGGGGCAAATAAAAAAATGAAAATTAAATTATGACTTACCTATTGCTATTGTACATGAAAGATATTCTGCGTCACTGACTTTGATTAGGTTTTTAGCTCACCTGAGCCCAAGTCTCAAGTAAGCTTTTCTGTTCAAAGAGTGTCTGGCGTCCGTCTGTCGTCTGTCCTGTGTCGTCTGTCGTCTGTAAACTTCTCACATTTTGGACTTCTAATCAAGAACCATTGGGCCAATTTCAACCAAACTTGCCACAAAGCTTTCTTTGGCAAAGGAAATTTAAGTTTATTCACAGGAAGTGTCACGCTCTCTTTAAAGAGGAGATAATTAAGAAACAGTGAAAATTTGGTGGCATCTTTTAAAAATCTTCTTCTCAAGAACCACTGGGCAAGAAAAGTTGAAGCTTATATGAAAGCTTCATTACATACTCTAGATTCAAGTTTGTTCCAGTTATGATCCCTCGGGGTAGGACAGGGTCACAACAAGGGGTCAAAGTTTACCATAGAAATATATAGGAAATGTCTTTGAAAATCTTTTTGTCGGATTTTAAGGTCTCATTCGAAAAACCCGTGACTTTCACTTCTAATGCCGAGCGCTTGGCGAAAGATCAGTCACTACCTATGTTTACATCTTAGGTATGACGCGGCGCGGCGAACGAGAATCGAACCAGGGCCTCGCGATCACGAAGCGAGCGCCCTACCACTAGGCTACCGTGACCGGTGGAGAACTTTGAAAGAGTAACCGTTTTTTACAATTGTAACTTCAAAAGAGACCGTTGATATCCTTGTTTCACCAACTTGTTTGTCAATAGCTTGCCTCATTTAAGAAATTGTTCACACGTAGAGCATGCTCATGCGTATCGAATCAACTAAGACATAGAAACCCCATATGCAGGTGATGAGTGTATATTGCTACATAAGTAAGGGAAGTTGATGATTGAAAAGTTGTAGTCATCACGTTTATCATAAAGCTTTGCTGATATGTTACCATTAATGTCTTTTTCTGGTAAATTTTAAGTACAATATATAAGCTACATAAGTAAGGAAAGTTGATGATTGAAAAGTTGTAGTCATCACGTTTATCATAAAGCTTTGCTGATATGTTACCATTAATGTCTTTTTCTGGTAAAATATCTAAATATGAAACAGATATGTCAGTTTCTGTTGTAAAATATCTAAACATGAAACAGATGTGTCAGTTTCTGTTGTATCTTTTATTTCAAGCTCACTCATACTACAGTTATATGGTAACCCGTTCAATGCACCAATGGACCCATTTCCTCCTTTAACACTGGTATTGTTTAATAGTGGGAATTCTGAGTGATGAGTTCGAAATTTTGAATTCAAATTTTGAGATTCCCTTATTTTTGAAATGTTTCCTGAATCAGAACAGGCGATCAGTGACATTTTTTTTCTTCAAAGGATGATTCTCTCCTGTTTGTGGCATGACCAGTAAATCTATGTGTCTTGGTAACCTGGCGGGAATAGATATCAAAGATTAAATAATTAAAGGAAACCAACTTTGTGTTTTCCATAGGGGTACAACTAAAATAGCTCTATCTATTTTGTCTGACGAAATTTTACTGATATTTTTCCAATGAGTCTAAAAGGGGGTAAATATAAGGACTAAAGTTTGACCAACATAAAGTAAAAGCATCAATTTCAGAAGCATCTGGATCAAATGTCCAAGACACAAAGTCTAAGTATGCATTTAATCTAGAAGTAAATATTTGATGACATATTTGAGAAAAATTATACGGTTTCAGCACCCCACTCTTTTAAATCTGAAAATTGCCTTGATAGATAATCAGCTTGAACATTCTCAACACCAGGGATATGCATGTGCTTTGCAGTTATAACTTTATTTCTTTGAATACACTATTTCTAAATATTTACTGCATTTGAAGATGGTAAAGCCATTGCACCCATTGAATTAATATAAGAAACTGCAGTTATATTGTCGAATTTTATTTTTACGTGACAACTTTTATAACCACTGAAAAAAGCTTTCATCGAAAACTGGATTGCTAAAAGTACCAAATCACTAATGTGCATTTTAGATTCTGCCAAAGTCCAACGACCACCTACACTTGAAAATCTAGCCCCCCCCCCCCCCCCCCAGCGCCTTGTAATGAGGCATCTGTTCCAATTCAGAAATCGATAAAGGGTAAATGAATTGGTTTATCATTGAACTTCTCTACATTATTTAACCACCATTTATTTTCTACATAATTTCTTCTTACCTGTCATATATCAACATTTTAGAATCATAATCATTGTATTGTCTTAAAGGACAAGATAGGCTAAGATCCCTTTTTGGCCCCTGGTTTGGGGTGTCTTTTAGAATGATGTAACAGTTTATCAATAAAAACCTGTTGTCACCCATGGCACAAAATGAGTATTGGTTCTAAGTTATGGGATACTTAAGGTCACAGGAAAGGTCAGAAAATTTGTCAATTTCCGAATTTTCTCATTTTTATGCACATTTTCATCGATTTTACGGCACATTTTGTTTCAGAAAACATAGAGCACACTCTTGCCTATCTACCAAATTTATATATTTCATACACTAGAATCAGATGCACCTTGTGTATAAAAATCTCAGATAGGCAACCCTGTGCTCTATGTTTCCCGATGTGAAAAGTATCCCAAATTTGACGAAATTCCACCAAAATTGAGGAAATTCGGGATGCCCCACTTCTGCACCCGATTGTGACCTCTTTGAATCAAAATTAGTGCTGGTTTTTAAACAAGCATCATTTTAAGTTCTTACCAACCATCACAGTTTTAACTGTGTTCTGATTTTTACATCAAATAATGGGCCTGATTCGGCTGTTACCATACCTTGACCTTTCGAATCCTATCTTTTTCCATATCTTTGTAATGCATCGGTCTCTCAGAAATTGCATTAAATGTATGGATCACAAGACCTATCAAAGATGCAATTATTCTAATTGTAACACATTTTTCATTCAGAATGCACAATGACACAATCTTAGTGATTTTCTCATCAGTTAAGAAAAATTTATATTGCACTGAATCAATTAATAATTCCAAAAAACTCTGGGTTGGTATAATAACAGATTTTTTTTCCAGATTTATAGTAAACCCAAGTTTATCCAACTCATTCACAATTAATTGAGTTTCTTGTTTGCAGTCCCCGTAGTTTTTGTTTATCACAATAGAATCATCAATATAGTAACAACTGGTTCTGATTCTAGATCTGGTAGCCTATTTTTTGGCTTGACTTGGATAACGCCCTCCTCTGAAGGTTGTCTGTCTACATGAGGTTTGAATTACTGGTACCCTTGGTAACCTTGATACTGATTCTGCTGTTGGTAACCTTGACGAACAGCACCCCAGAAGTTTAAAGTATTAGACCTGTCTTTGAATGTATTAAAAGAACCTTGACCCGTAAGGGAACTCAATGAATGTTTATTCATATCACCCATATCTTTAAGTTTGGTGACACAATTATCTCCAAACAATTTGTCGGTAAAAGGTATTTCGGAACTGCAAATTTTTCTGTATCTGGGGTTTAAACAACTCTTTAAGTCATTCCTACGTTTCATCGACAAATTATATTATCCATATCCCAACAGACTAATGGAGTCAGATAACATAGATTTCGTTTTTTGAATATCTAAATCTTCCTTATTATTTTGCCAGCTGATCTGCCAATGAAACAATGGGAATCAAACCCTGAGCCATATACCTTTGTATTTCTTGTAAAGCAAGATCAGCGGACTGAGCATTTTTATTCATAGCATCCCAAATTTTCTTATTTACTCTTATCGCCTGCGTGGCGCAGTGGTTAGAGCGTTCGCTCTAGAGTCGCGGAGTAAGGAGATGATCCTTACGTCGCGGGTTCAAATCTCACTGTGGGACGTGGAGACCGGTCCTTCGGATGAGACCGTAAAAAACGAGGTCCCGTGTCGCAGTAGGTGCTGGCACGAAAAAGATCCCTCAATGCTTAATGGCCATGAGTGCCGAGTATAGGTCAAAATTTGCAGCTCTCCACCGGCAAGTGGTGGCGTCTCTATATGAGTGAAAAATTCTCGAGAGGGACGTTAAAACAATAAACAAACAAACTTATTTACTCTTGGGGTTTTTAGATATGTACAGTTTTCTGGTCTTCTGCAAATGTTTTGAATGTTTTTTACTTGATTTTACTGAGAGAGCTGCGTTAACAGCTTTAGTCAAACCTGTACTTAGTTTTGGACAAGTGGCCTCTTCTGGGTTTAATTGTGGGATATTAACTCATCCACAGAGTCAATTTTCTCTGTAGTCCGAGTATTATTTGGATTTTCAAATGCATCTTTGAATGCAATCTGATGATCAACAGCTACTACTGAGGAGTGTTTGGGGATAATTCAAGTCAAAGTCATATAAAGAATTATAATTCAAGTGCTTTTGATTCAAACTAATGAAATCTGAAAAGGGTCTGGTCAAAGTTGCACTAGGTGCATTATGGCTGAAACTCCTTTCCATAACATCAGCATTTTGACTTGAAGTGGGCTCCGTACATTAACATACATTTGTCAGTTTCGATAAACAAGAAATAGACTTCAGTATTAATACCCAGAGTAGATTTTAATGAATCAGTATAAATGCAAGGGTTATTCTTTTTGGTTACAGACCGTTTTTTAAAGACGATTCCACGCTTGTATCAGATAATTTTCTTTTAAAACCTGAACGAATGACGAGATTTTCTTCTCGAATTACTCTCAAACCTTGTCTTCACTTTTTCCATGTTATCAGGACTAATGTCATTGTCCAAATTTTATATCGTCACTATTTTCCCCAAGTGACAAAACATCGTCTCTATCAGACACTATTAAAACACGAATATATGCGTAAGTACAACAGTTCCATATGGAATTCCATATACGACAGCCAACTGCTTACTACCAACTGCCAGTTGTTTACTGCTTGCTCCCAACTGCTACTGATTATAGATGGTATTGCCTGTTTTGTTATCTTTAAGGTTCAGCAATACTCTGATAAGAGAGATAACTCTTAATGTCATAAATGTCTATTATTCCTTTATAAATTTGTCAACTTGAAGTATCTTTTTTTGTCCAATTTTGCCCCGCAAGCTATGCAATACTTGTTTGTATTTTACTAAACAAATACTTTTCTTTTGGAAAATCATGAGTTAAATAAACATTTTATATGAGTGAGCAGAGGGTTTATGAACGTTAATACCTTTAATGCGCATACTTGAATAAACCCTATGCAAGAAAAGAACGACAAATGAAAGTATTGTTCTTCCAACTATCTCACATTTGAGTGATTTTCATATTTAAATAGAAATTTATGTGAATTTTCAAAAAACATAACCCATTTGGTATACAACAAAGAGAGATAAGTCTTTAATTTTGGTAAAACTTGTGTTTTTCACAATAGAAAACAACGGAAAACGGTTATTTATTTTCAAAAAATTCCACCGCCCTCTCGTCAAACAACAATTCCTCTTAACAGGTATTATAAATTGTTATTTCATAAATTCATACCAAAGTTTTTGTGATTTTAGGGGGGAGAGGGGAGGGGGTATGTTAACAGACTAAAAACAGGAAAATAGTCATTATATATTATATAATATATATTAACTATATTAATTTTAAATGAGATAAAAAAAATAAATGAACTTTATCAATCTGAAATGTTGAATTTTACTTAAGTGAAACACGGAGAGATTTAAGTCATTTATCCATTTCCATGAATAATTGAAAATCTGATGATGTTTTAAAGCCTGATTTCAATTGACAAAATTTTCTACCCCTTATTAAAGGAGCTGTAAATAAGAGACTTTTTGACATTGTTTATCAAAAAATCATTAATCAATTACTAATTAATCATATCTAAAAGTTGCATTTAAGCAGGCTTTAATAACCAAATTGCATTTTATATTTAAATGAATGTAAAAAGTTGGTTGGAATCGAGAGCGTGCGTACAATGATAACAATTAAAAACTTGCGGATTAGAAATTCTTACACTGTGAAGGCGAGGAAGGAGTAAATCGGAAGGAACAAAACATTTAATTTCCACATTTCCTTGCAGGCAAATAATTCAATCAGGGTGTGTGTGTGTGTGTGTGTGTTATATAATATCTTGCACTATCTTATAGTGTTTCTTTTCACCTATAAAAAGAATTTTTATATATGTCTTATTTAAATAGTTTTTATGGCTGATGTCAGATCTGTAAAGTCATTAATGGTGGTGGGGATTGGTGGAGGTAGTCCTCATTAAATTGCCAACATATGTGACCTTTTCTAAATACCTATCATGGGATTTCTGTTGGGTTATCCCCCCCCCCTTGCCTTAGATAAATTATTTTTGCACAGGGCAAAATGTCTTTCATTAAATTTTTTTTATCAGTATCGTTTTAATTTTTTTTTTCGAGTATAAATGCATATACCAAAAATATTACCCAAGATCCTACTTGAAGTTTGTGCTCCACCTCCACCCCCACATATACTATATCATCTTTAATCTCTCCCTGTCAAAAAAGCTATTGAATTACTTGTCTGCAAAGAAATAAGGGAATTAGATTTTTTTATGTAAGAGGATATACTCTTTTTGCAACTTCAGTTTGGAAAAAAAAGGTCATCAGACGTTTTATTGAGGGGTACAAGGGCACAATCATATAGCGGCTATGTTTTCTATAGTATTCTATATATCGGCAGAGTTATCCCCCCGGTTCCTACAGTCATGCATCCATTCTCTATATAGAATGTCAGATGTACTGCAAAACGAATTGAGGAAAACGCCACAACGCAAATAGCAAAGATCCACCTTTGCATTGACATCAACATCAAATAAATGGATTACGCATATACTTTTAGACAGATGGAGTGGGGCTTTGAGTGAAAAGATTTGTCAAATCCTGAGTATCTATCTAAATAAATTATATATTTGATAAGTTTAACAGCTGTTAACATGTTAGCTTTAAAGTGATTTTATTTATTTTTTCCGTTATGATGTGCAATGTAAAAATAAATAACAATGTACTGACAAATGAATCACCTTATTTAGAAAAGCCTGAGACGTGAAGTGTTGAGTTATACAATTTTCCTACTTTCGTTTGATGATGCTCAACGACTTACGTTTGTTTATAATGATTATTGCGAGGCCAATTGGCTATTTTGCATATGATTCAGAAAACTTAAAAATTCTGAAACTTATTTTACTAAAGCACGCAAGATGTATCATGAATGAAGTAACAGGAAGGGTATATTTATATCTTGGTAACTGTTTAAAAACTGGGACGACAGAGTGTGTGGAATTCCCCCATTTAAACTGTGTTAACTTTATGATCTCAAGAAGGGCATTTAAACAGAGATACTAATATACAATGGTGGACTCCGTTCTCTGTGGAGGTTTACTTATTTTGATTCTGTGTCGTCAATCTCAGTCGTTATGTGAAACTTTTGACAAAGGTATTAGTTTTACAATCATTTTGTATCTTTTATTTTGTACCTAAAGTAAATTCCCAACAAAGACAATAGTTGATAGAATTTATAGGAATCTTCTGAACCTAATATTAGGATAAGGGTGTGGCCTATGCATTTATAGAATGAAAAATGGCCTATTGATATTGGGCATGTAAGTACACGAGGAAACATCGGTTTTTAAGTTCAGATTATACATGAGGATTGGCATTGACAACATTTCCTGTTTTAGCTGATAACATCGGATAGACCTCTGTAGATTAACGCATATGTGTATGTACACAGCAAAATGTTTGTTAAACCATGTTTCTCCCTTAATGCTCAGGCTTTACTGATTGTTATCAAAAGAAGGAAACAATTTTCCAGATCAGAGATCTAATTCTCATGTGAACTTTCACTTGCTACAATAGGTAGAATTTACCCAATACGATAATTTAGTTATGTGTAGAATTCTGATGGGCGTGACCAGTTCGACAATAGGGAATTACATGTACCAATATGCACTTGAACAATCGCTTTGTATTGGGTGGTAAAGTATCTCTATAGTTATTTAAAAGGAAAAGCACCACACATACGTTTTTTTAAAATTCTAGAATGAACGGACCTGCCTGGTGGAAATCAGAGAAGAATAAAATGTTTTCACTGAAAAATGCTTCTCAAGACATTGCTGAAACAATAAGGATTTTATATTGGATTTTTTTTATTAACATGCATGCATTATCTCAAAAATTGTTTTATATTATTTACAACAAATTGAGTCATCTTCCTTGAAATAGCATGGATGCACAAAGGTTGACGAGTCCTTTGATCATCTTTTGTTTTACTTTCAAACTTAAAACATTAAATATCTGATCTATTACAGAAGAGATATAATTCTCTAGGTTTTATTTATACTTTTATAGGGTTGGCAGAGATAAGCACTCTATGAATGACATCTAGTAGTTAATAGCAGTGCATAGAATAATTTGCTATGGATACACTGTTATCTATGAAGCACTCTATGGAAACCATTTTCGGTTGTTATATGAAGGCAATATACACGTAGAAGTCTATATATACCATATCAACCCTGATAGCATATCATTTTTTGAAAAGTTAATAATTTTCATAGGTTCAATCTTCATACGTTTATCAGATACATTTATCATGTTCAAAATAATGGGAGAGGTATATATAAAATCTAGTTATGGGGTTATAAATTTTGTATTTACCTCATTCAATTATAAAAAAAAATACATGGTTAAAGAATGAAAGACTTTTTTTTACTACAATAGATCTGTGCATTGAAGAGACCAAGAAGAATTGGACTGAAGCGTCAGAAAGTTGTAACTTGGCAGTATCCGATACATCTCTCAGTCTTGGTGTTCCAATTACAGATATCCCTGTTCTCATACACAGATCCTCTGCTCCGACCTACATGTCTGATGATGTTCACTGGATAGGGGCCACAGGAACATTCACTTCATGGTTTGAACTAGCAGGTAGTTTGATGTTCATTGTTATTGACAAACAAGTTGATGAAACAAGAATATCAACAGTCTCGTTTAAAGTCATCATTTCGTAAGTTCTATGGCCGATACAATGACCTTGTCAGCAAATTCAATTTATCATTGAGTCAAATGCTGACTGACGTTTTTCATACTAATTGTTCAGCCATTATTTACACACTGCATTGTCGACGGATTTTTCCGTTATTTCCCGATCATGACAAGGAGCACAAGGAGCACACGGCGGGTATGACCGGTCGGTAGGGGATACTCACTCCTCCATGGCACCTGATCCCACCTCTGATGTTTTGGAGGTGCGTGTTTGCTCTGCTCCTATTTTGTAATGTTTAATGGACTTTTGAGCTTGAATACTGTTCGTTATCTCCATATATTTCATTATAGATATTTATGATGGTTTAATTTTTCGTACTTCAGTTAAGTTCATGTAATTTCTCCATAAATGAACACATGTGTACGTAGGAACATATTAAACAAGAAACAAACAAACAAAAAACAAATAAGGCAGATTAAAATCTTGCAGATGTAGAAAAAAAATCCCATTCAAACCTAAGATCTTTTAAGTTTCAATGTATGTTACTATCCAATTCATCCGATTAAAATGGAAATACTTTATTCTTAACAAATTTGAGCTTAGTTTGAAAGGTAGCATGATCTATAGAAATCTTCATAGCTTTCTTGCTACTGAAAAAGTGGTCATACGTATTTATTTTTACAAAACGTTTACAGGCCTTGAAAAAAATGAAATTGCTGTACATTTACATCAATGTGAATAGCGATATTTTTTAAGCTTCTTTTACTAGGATGCAGCCTGTATCATTACTTTCCGTTCAATAAACAATTGATGTCCAGTTTAAAACTTGGACCTATTGCTCAATGTCATGAAATATGTGCAAATTGGAGAAACAGCTACAAGGAATTCGGAATAAACGTAAGTGTATCCACGTTAGAAAGAGTAATGTTAAAAAGTTACGACCCGAGTTTTGTTCTTGATGTTTACACTGAAATTAATTTACACTTTATTTTGTTTTACAGAGTTAAAGTATTTACCTTTCCACAAATTTTATTTTATTAATTTTGTTTATAAAAATAAAATAATATCACTTAATCCTTTAAAAATTCCACGTGGATGGCGATTATAAAAGCTTTGAAATATGCATAAATCAAAAGCGCGACCACATCTGCAACGGCTCCGGTGTTTTTATTATGAGCTATTCCACACTTCATCTTGCAAAGATGCAATTTTTTCTTGGGAAACTCATCTTTATATATTACATTGAATAGTTATAAGTTACTACGCGTTTGAAAATTAACACAATCGAGATAAACACTTATTTGTCAAAACAGCAATGTCTTTTTAATTACTTTTACCTGTCAGAAGTGTCACTTGAATTTGAATATTGTTAATTAATCAGCATATAAGATCATTCGAGTTTTTAAAATTTATTTGCGAATTTTAACATATTTAGTAATAAGTAAAAGTCATTTGCATATACGATATGCGTGACGTCACAATAGCCATATCAGCTTCCAGGACTGCATGATGGGAATTTGAAGGGCTGATATGGATTCTTCATATCTCATGTAGTTTTAAACCTTAAACAACATAATATGTGATAAAACACACATTTTTTCGTTCACATTATCTGTGGAAAAATTGTCACATTCTCTGTGGAAAAATTGTATTTGATTTTAAATTGTGGCCTTCAACTCTACATTCAGAACCGTTCACGGTAGCTCAGTCGGTAGAGCGCTCGCTTCGTGATCGGGAGGTCGTGAATTCGAATCTCGGCTGCGACTGAACTAATTCGATAAAAAATGGGTAGCAACTGTTCCTTCGCCATGCGCTCGGCACTTTGAATGAGACCTTAAAAACCTAGGCCCCGTGTCACGGCAGGCGTTTGCACGATAAAGATCCCTCACTGCTCAATGGCCCTGAGTGCCGAGTAAAGGTCAAAATTTGAAGCCCTTCACCGGTATATGGTGACGTCTCTATATGTGTGAATAATTCTCGAATGGGACGTAAAACAACATACAATCAATCAATCAATCTACATTCAGATAAATTGACAACGTTTTATCAATAAAAAAATGTTACTTCTATTCACATGTTGACTCGATATATCCCAGTGAACTCGAAATAAAATACTGCCACATCTGTTTTATATTAGGATATTTTACTGACTATAGACAAGAAGGGCTAACTATTCCGCTATCACTTGCATACAGTGTTAACATCTCCCAACTTATTCCATACTCAAGAGCATACTCTGAGTACGATCAATGTTTTACCCAAGGCGGGCTCCTGACAGATAAGTTGATGTTACAGGGATTTCAACAACCTTGTTTAAAGTCAGCATTCGTAAATTCCATGATTGTTATAATGATTTTGTTAGCAAACATAACCTACAATTGGGTCGTATTTTGACTGACGTATTCCTACCAATTGGTCGCCTGCATGGCGCAGTGGTGAGAGCGTTTGCTCTCGAGTGGGAGATTAAGGAGTTGATCCTTCCGTCACGGGTTCGAATCCACTGTATGACGCGGAGGCCGATTTTTCGTAGTGGATCGTATAAACCGGGGTTTAATGTCGCAGTAGGTGTTGGCACGAAAAAGATCTCTCACTTCTGTAAGTGCCGAGTTCTAAATTTGCAAAATGGTGGAGTCTCAATATGTGTAAAAAATTCTAGAACGGACGATAACAAATAAACAAATCATTGTTAGGGTTTTTTTAATACTTAATTTGATTACTGAGAATTCCATCTACCTGATCAATACATAGGACGCACGGCAGGTATATCCGGTCAACAGGGGATACTTACTACTCCTAGGCACTAAATCCCACCTCTGGAATTCCCCGGGGTCTGTGTTTCATGCTTTGTTCACAGATATGTTTCGTTTGTATTTTATTTTAACTGCTGTTCGTTATCTTCACCTTTTACATTACTGTAAAGGTGGTCGGTGATTTATTTTATTTGTACAGGTACATGTGCGCTCTATGTTACTACTAACTATTAATAAACATTATAAAATATACCCTTTTCCATATCAAACACTGTATCAACCCTCGAACAATACCAGCCCTCGGGTCTTCGGCCCTCTTACTCTTGTTTGGTGTTTCGGGCCTATGCATGATGTCATATGGAAAAGGGTATGTAATATTCTCAAATATAATGCTTAAAAATCCTGCAGATTATTAAATTAAATTATAGTTACTCATTCATTTTATGTTATCTGTATGCTATATATTGAGAAAATGCTGACTTTAATAAAAAAAAATTAAGAAAACAATTATCATATATTAATGATATTCTCCTCCATCGCACCCGATCCCACCTCTGATGTTTTTGGAGGTCCGTGTTTGTTTTGCTACCGATTTGTATTGTTTTAATGGACTTTGAGCTTGAATACTGTTCATTATCTCCATAGTTCAGTCTTGTAATGTTATTTTGTACAATATAGCTAAGAAAATTGAGAAACATGATCCTACGTCGCATTTGCCATTTTTGAATTTAGGTCAAAATTGTAAAGCGCAGTAACACTGTCTTCAATTTTTGTAAAATACATTTTGCTTTCATTGCGAAATTATTTTTAAAAAATATTAAATATTTATTGCATGATCGTGAGGAAAATATGAAGATTTATTCAGCCAAGAAAATCAAATTCCCCAAAGGCCTCCCGAGGGAAATATGATATTTCTTGGCTGAATATATGATCATGGTTCCCGAACATTCATGCAATAAATTGTTTATTATACCGAAACAAGCAAAAACTTTAAAAATAAACATAAACATTCAAATTTGCACAGCTCTTACATTTATTTTCAATTTTAACGTTGTGTTACGGAAACAATTTGCAGAAGTGCATCAGCAAATTCGTGACGTGAAACAGGCTATTGTGACGTCTACTGCTCTCGGGAGTTTTCGTTCAACGAACGATAACGCACTAGGTCTCCGAAGAGGTTGAATATGATGAAAATCATGACGAGGACAGGGAAATATGAAGTTTAATGGCCCTGTCACGTGGTAATCTAGAACCAATCAATAAAGCTTTGTATAGAATAATTATAATGAGGTATAATAATAATAATTCTATTATTATCCTAATGTGAAGATAGTTGTTTAATATGTCTTTTTTCCTGATGTTTATTTATTTTATTTTCCTTGTATATACGTTTTGGTTAAGTGCATCGACAATCTCAATACTTTACCCTCACCCCCCTTCAACTAAAAATTTTGAAAGTGTAACGTGTATTATTTTATAGACATTAATATCGCTCAACAAGTTATGTCCTTATTAGGAACGTAAAGAGATATAATGTTTATTACACTTATGGGGAATTGTGTGGAAAGTATGTGGGTTCTTTAATGTTTCAGAATTTTAGTGTTCATTAGTGGGTACATTAGTGTACACCTCTTCAGTCGAAGCATAATAAAGTAAATACATAGAAACGCACTATGACTTAGCATGACACAATTTCAGACCTCAAATACATTTGTTCCTTCGTCTGAATATCTGATATAGAAGCAGGGTTGGCCGGGAAATACCAGTGGTGGGAATTACAAGTGATAAATACCGGTATTTCCCGTCATGGGAATTAATACAAATTTTCTCTATACTGGGAAATACTGGGAAATTCTAAGTTAAAGTATTTTGTTTCTTTCATTCATTCAATCTTCAGAAATAGAATAAACATAAAACAGAATATGAATAATATTGAATATGTCTCAAACTGCAATTTAACATATTCAGAGTGTATCACTACTCCAGGTCCAGCATTCTGTAGCAGTACAATTTCTCTGGCTGTATATTAAAAACAAAACTGAAGTTTTTCCATTCAAGTTTCCTTTCTGTTTTGCAAAATTATTAAGTTTATTAATTATAAATCCCACAACAAAACAAACTTGTTTTAATCCTTCTATAAACACTTTAGTTATCACAATCAATCATGCTGTTTTAAAAAATTACTCTACACAGTTTAGTGCTCCTGTATTGAGATATAATTACCTTGAGTAGAAATGAAATGCCTCTTCTTAGGTTTGATATTTACACCATACTCTACATTTACATAAAAAATCCAACTGGGAGCTGTAGTTTCATTACATTGACTTTTATAGACTGGTATGTGAATATACTGTGTTATGATTATATAAAATGAATTAATTGGAAACAAGAAATATTTAAATCAGGGTCAGTGATACCAGATAGATATCTTAGCCAATAAGGTGTACTGCATGTCTATACCCAGACAAATATAAAATTATGAAATATGTAGGTATTTATTATTTCCCAGTGTTTCCCGAGAAATACCAGTAATTCCCGGTAATTAGCAGTATTTCCTACCGTCCTGGGAAATATGAGTATTTCCAGTTTTTTTGCCAACCCTGTATAGAAGGAGAATTCCATCATCGATGTAGAGACCAAATTTTGGAGATAAAGATATTCTCTTTTGATTAACATTTTCAAGGTTAAAAGTTATCGTGCAATAGTTTATACCGATTGGGAAATTTTGCATTGTTAAAGAAACTTAAGCAAGATTTAATACATCATTGTAGACAACGCATTGCGTTTGCACAGAGAATTTAAGACTACAAGCGGGTTTCACTGAAAACAAGCCCTGCAATTCACAAAATTCAATAAACATCGGGAATGACGTAATCGGAACCGGTAGCGAGCAGAGAACGGGAACTTATGTATTTGCCTGGTATAGGAAAGTCAGAGTTACCAATGAAATAGGTAAAGCTGTTATTCATATCAAAAAAAGAATCTATAGTACTTCAAATTAAACTTTTATTTAAAAAATTCTTTATTTCATACACAATCTGTTATTTCATGACATAATACAAAGTTTAACATTTTTTCAGACTGTGGTTTTTAAGAGAGAGAGAGAGAGAGAGTTGGCATGTTATCACATATTTTATGAATAAGACTGATTCTTTTCTTATAACAGATTTATAAAAACTATTGATTCCATTGATTCCAGTTGGTGTCAAATACCTCTTTGTCTCCATTTTTGTATGATAAATATTTTTGAGTTTCATAAAAAGTTTAATATGTGAAGTTGCAGGTCTGACATCTGATTTTTTTCCCTAAAATCTCATTTTATATTAGCATTAATTATTTCATAAAACTGTTTTGCTTTCTTACACTTTGAAAGAATATGAGTGCAAGGCAAAATTAATGGGTTTGGTAATTTTCAGTGATATCATTAATGTTCATTGCTTTCATCCATGCTTTTACAGTATGTATTATACCTGCAAATTCTAAGAAATTGAGCTTTACATTTATATATTTATATATACCCTAAAAACTCTCATAACTGTAAAAGAAACCATTTTCATCTTTAAGATCATTTATAATTCTAATATTCAGGTCATTCATATTTTTATTATAAATAGCTTTCCCACCAATGACAATTTTAGGATTATAAAAAATTGGTATGTCTCCTGAAACCTTTCAGTCACTAGAGTGTTTATTATTTAAATCAGTCCAAGTCTCAAAGACATCTTTCCAAAACTTGTTTTTCAAATTCTTCATGATAGTCTTAATATATTCAATGCCACATGTTAACATTTTTATCAAATTTATATTAGGTAAAAAAAAAATGTAAACCTTTATCTGACAGAATGAGCTGTTTCATCCAAAATAATTTAAGTGATGCAGTGAAAGCTCTAAGATTTATCATTTTTAGTCCGTCTTCATATATTTTTACTAAAACATCTCTCCTCACTCTGTGATGTAAACCATTCCATACAAATGAAAATATCTCTTACTCCACTGACTAATAGTGACTTTTATTTGTCTTAATTTGGGTTCATAATTGAAACTTTCAATTTCACTCAAATCAACATCATAATGAATTCCAGGTAAGGTAAATCTTGTATACCCCCACTTAAGATTATGCTCATGAATTAACATTTCTTGACTAAATTTTTTGGAACCAATCCAAACTGCATGGGATTTCGAACAATTGATATATAAACGAGACATTTCTGAAAATTTCTTTAATGTTTTCATCACTTCTGTCAGTGATTCTTTGCTACCATCTAACAGAATTGAAGTATCATCTGCTAATTGTGATATTTTCTTTTCCATGTTCTTTACAGTGATTCCCTTGATTTTTTTTTTATTTTTCTTATAAGATTTAGGGTGATAGAGGATCCCCTTGTCTACAGCCTCTCTGAATATTGAAATTTTGTGAATACTTACCACTCTGATTAATTGTGGAACTTATATTAGTATAAAACAATTTCACCCATTTTTGTATTGAGGGACCAAAATTAAAAAAAAAAGTGGAGGGAGTTCTAAATGAATTTCCATGAAATGGTATCAAAAGCTTTCTCAAAGTCAATCAATAGCAACAAGCCTCGTATATCTTCCTCTTCTGTATACTGCGTAATATCATAAATCAAACGTATATTTTCTCCTATGTACCTATTAGAAAAAAACCCGTTTGATCGCTATTTTATTAATTTGTCAAGGTTAATATTTATTCTTTTAGGAATAGTACGTGATGCAATTTTGTATACAGTATTGAGGAGTGTTATTGGCAGCCAGTTATTAGAAACTGTCTTGGCTTATCCCCCTTTGTTAAAAGTTTTATTATACCATGTGTCTGTGTGATAGACAGTAGGTTTTATCATATGCATAGTTAATTGATCTGACAAGAAAGTGCCCAAGATATTTCCAAAATTAAACTTTTGAAAATTCTGTTGAAAAACAATCAGAACCTGGAGATTTATATGATTTCATTTTACTTAGAGTGCTAGAAGCCTCATGTAAAGTAATAACACCTTCTAATTCTTCAGCCTCTGCATTAGATAACTTTGGAGTATCCTCAATTTTAGATCAGACTCACTCTTTCAAATTTTAACTTAATACAGATTCAGAATATCATTTCCCATAAAATTTCTTTGTTTCTTCTAAAATTTGTGCTTGATCATGGATTATGTCTCCTGTGTCTACTTCTAGCATAGATATTATTTTACTAGTATAGTTCCTGGATTCTAGGGAACAGAAATATCTTGTAGGTTTTTCTCCTTCATCTACCCATCGTGTCCTACTTCTTACACATATACCTTGTAATTTATGTCTTCTTAAGTTTTCAAATTGTTTTTTTTAGTTTCAAAATCAAAAACTTTTTCATCTGTAAGATTTTCCTCCAGGGGCTCGTTTCTCAAAAAATCGTAGATCTGGGCCTAGGTTAGTCCGACTACACGAGTTACGCCAAAATTTAGATGGGTCTTAATCGCGTTTCAGAAAGCGGCGTAAGACAGGACCTAAAGTACAAGAGACTAAGACCTCTCCTCTAAGTACTAAGCATGCGCAGATTGTATTTTATTTGGTCTATAGACTACGTTTACATGTGGCGGATCAGATTATTAATATTACGCTAAAAACTGAACACAAAAGTAAAGCACAGAAAGCATGAATGCGTGCATGTGTTCTGTCTTCACGATCTCTCGAACAGATGTATTACATAATTCCATTTGTATTTTCTGTTTTGGTGTGCTGAGATATACATATATAGATATACATTCATAAACAAATTAAAAAATATATATAGGTATAAATTTACACAGAAGAACATATACGTGTATACGATTGTGATATTTCGATATACATTAAAAACTCTTCTACACATAACAATCAATCAAGCAGATACATGCATTGTAACACGTGTTCTCAACAAAGGTTTGCAAACACTTAATTAGTTCTCAATCAATTTTTTGTAAACCTTATTACAGGCAAGCAATCTAGTATTTTTTTTAATGAAATTCTTAATTAATTTCATTTGATATATTCCAGTGAAGATCAAATTTATCTAAATGGGAAAGATTCAAATTTCAACATTACCATTTTTTCTTGAATAGCAATTCTTTTTCAATTTCTCTTTAGAGTATGATCATATAATATTTATATTATATATGCAGTATGTTTCTTAAGATATTTTCCAAAGATTTAAAAATATTAAAAAAAACATGATTTTTTAAAATATTTTTTAATTCAAATAAATATTTTAATGTCTTCTTCTTGATATATGTGTAGGACTCCAAAGTCCGATGGTGACGCCAAAGTCCGATGGTCTCGCCAAAGTCCGATGGTCTGCACCAAACCCCGATGGGTTGACGTCTGTACGGATGTCCAAGTCCGATGGTCACCCTAAAGTCCGATGGCTCGTTTCCTATGATACACATCGCTAAAGTTTCAAGAAACAATTGATCATTTATAGTAAAACATACCTCTTTATTTGAAAAGAATGTATATATTATCTGTCGTGAACAGGTGCAGCATACTGCATTTTAACATTAATGATAACCACCTTAATGCAATCTAAGTACTCTTTGTCCCTTAATAGAGAGTTATTAAACTTCCAAAAACCTCGTCCTTTTTAAAGTCATAAAATTTTAACATCAAAGAAAGCATGGAGTGATCTGATCTATAGCTAGTTTCAATGTTACATTTATTTAAGCAGGACAAGAGTGTTTCTGACATGACAAAAAAAATCAACTCTGTTTGAAAGGTATTTTTCTTACGCCAAGAATAGCTTCGATATTTTTCATGAATTTGTCTAAAATTGGTCGATATATCCATTGCCCTACATGACCTCTAACAATTTAATGTTTTAAAAAAAATCTGGAGAATCATTATTTGGACAATACACCGTACATATTACTAGTTCATGACCATGTATACAAGCTTTTATAATAAGAAAATTTCAAAAAAAAAAAAAAAAAAAAAAAAAAAAAAAAAAAAAAAAAAAACCTAAACCTCAAGTTAAACTTCCTGCCTTTCGTTATTTATAAAAAAAAATTAAACAAAAAGCAGAAACAGTTTATAACATATACAAATTAATCATCTCATTTTTCATTTTTTTTTTTTAAAAGATGTTTATTTCTCGTAACAAGAACATTTACTCGAAGCATAATTTTTTTCTGAATAATTGTTACATTGCCTAAAATACTGATGCACAACTTCAATTCTAAATTTCTATTTTTGAGTGAATTTTTGAGTGAAATGTGAGTTTCTACAAGTCAAGTACAATTGAAGCGATATTGCGAAGCGATATTGCGCTATATATTGTAAAATTTAGATACAAAATACATACAAAACGTAAGTAAAATACTTTTGAAGCTTGGAAAATTAAGACAACTCCACTGAATATGCCTCTGAATATCAATTCCAAAGGATGTATATTTGAGACTCTTTATTGCAGTTATAAGCATGAAAAAAGCTGATTTCTAATTATAAAAAAAAAATAGGCATAATAACACATACCAACTCATACATAGATTTGTAAGTGCATGAAGTTTGGTATCTTTGTGTGTTCTGATTGATTTTGAGCTTAAAACGAATATCAAACATTACATCATTTTCTGCCACTCTCCGTAAAGATATTTGTAGAGTTTTTTTCCTCGTGTCTTCACAGCGGAAAGGGGGAAATACTTTCGGTGATGCCAATTTTGTTTATGTCAGGAAGTTTGTCACTTGATGCCCAAATTGTCAGATTAATACCAAATATATATAAAAATAACTCTTCCAATACAAATATTGATTTGAATAACATCATTATATCTCTTTCAATCTTTGCACCAGGAAAAAATGATTCCTATGTAAGATATAAGAGGTAAAATTAACAATTTTTCCTAATTAAAAATTTTTCACGTATAGCAAAGATTTAACCAAGAGTATAAAATGTGCTAAATTATAGCTGGTAAACTGCGTATATATATAGTTTTTAGAAGAACATTTCTCTTCACAGATGAGACATTAGGCGATTGTCTGCTGGAGACAAACGAAGGAAATGAGACGTATCCTTGTGATTCAGCAGGTTTGTCATGTCTATATCAACTCTTTACTTATCAATGTATCTGAATTGGAAGAAATCCATTTTTGCAATTTAATTATTAGATATAACACAACGTACATGGATACAAAGGTATCGAAATGAGATGAATAATAACAGTCTTCCAAGATGGACGCCATATGTTCGACGACTGATTATAAGCTGGAAGAAAGGTACGAAATCAGTAGTGGCTTGAAATCTTATATATCTTACGTACACAATACCGTATTTGCATGAGTATTTTTATGCCATGCATGCATTGCAACACATCACCATCAGTTAAAAATAAAGTAATTTATATCACCTTTCAAGATGAGAATGTCTAGGATTTATTTTCTCCATTCCTCAACTTGCGTGTCGTAATTCTGGTGCTCATACATTTGAAGTATCGTGTAGTTTATGCCCCTTTTAAGTCACAGATAATGTGAAAAGGTGCACAAACATGGGGATGTATTTTTAAGACCATCGTCATTGTAACAGAAAGAAATTATGATCTGCTATAGGAGTCGTGTCAAGGCCATGATTCATCATAAAATTTGATACATTCCTACAAAATGCATACCGTTTATTTTTATAACTTTGTTTAGCTTATAATTGTTATTGATTGTCATACATAAAAAGCTCAAGAACATTATAGCTGTTCAATAAATATCAAATCATAAAAGTCATAAATTTGAATTGGATTCTTCACAGATTGAGTTATATGACAGTGCCTTAAGATCATATCCTAAAAGTCAAAAGCATCTAAAGCAATGTAGCTCAAACATTGCAGGACATTTTTTTAAACTGATAAAGAAGGGTAATATAATACTTAACCAATTATTATTTCTGCCTAGACAATTTGTTATGTTGTTAAATTATGGACAAAGCTAAAAAATCATGCCCCTGTGACTGCTCAGTTAAAACTTAGTCAAATCTATTTATCTATAACTGTACTCGAAAATTGCTTGTTACTTCACCAATTTGTGGTATTACTTTTAAGAATATTTCATGAATTAATATCATGAATATACTTCAAAGATCAGGGTCATTTTTTCTGTTGGCGCTAACAATTGAGTTAGTTCCTATTTATATTTAAAAGCCTTTTTAATGTTAAGGTCAAGATCTAGTAAATGAAAGGAGCCTACAGATTTTTCAAATTTGAGAACTGAATTCCTTTTATGATGCTTTATAACTATAGCTTGGTCAAATAAGGTGTATCGGGGTATAATTTGTAGGTAAACAAGACGAAAACTCATATTTTCAACTGTCATTTTCAATGAAAACCTAAGAAAGTCAGTCATGAATATGGGAGTTTTTTGTCATATCAGACAAATGAAATGTATACAGATTGCCTACAGTCTCTCAGAAAACAGTAATTTGTATGTTCTTAGCCTCTTCTTTAAAATAATGTAAAATTGAATATAGGTACCGGGATTACTTTTTACACGATTTCAAATTGAATGCCATGAAAATACTTTATTTTCTACATAATTCTATTAGAGTCGCAAAGTACGGGAAAAAGAAAGTTTGAATTGATTATGACGTCATAATGGATCTAGCACCAAAATAACATTCTAAAGTCATTTACTAGATCTTGACCTTAAATCTTATGCTTTATACATTTTTAAAACTATTTAAGTTTTCCTACTTTAATTGGAATTTAATAAGTATAGGATATGAAAGAGTCATTCGGTAATCCATTAGATAATAAACTTTTTAGTTCTCTCTCAGATTCTTGAATTATCTTTATGTTTTACAATTATGATTGTAAATCTGAACAGATTAAATAAGATCATTTTGAAACGGTTGAGAGTTATTCCCCTTTGCTAAATTGTACTAATTAATAAATAATTGTATATAATTTAATTAACTGGTTATTTGATTAAATGAAAATACAAGAAAGAACGTTATATATATATATATATATATATATATATATATATATATATATATATATATATATATATATATATATATATATATATATATATATATATATATATATATATATATATATATAAACAAAATAAAAATAAATGTATGGTTAAGACCATTCATTATCCTTATAAGACTTGGACAAACCAAGTACATGTACCATCCCAAGGAGATCGCTAGGGTCTAGCATGTTACAATTATACCAAACTAAATATTAATATTGTTTAAAGTTTGAAATGATAAATGTTAAACCCATTGATCCCCCTTCTGTTTTCACAAATCCATGTTTGCTCTGCTCTCACTTTGAATTGTTTTCTTGAACTGTGAACTTTATTGCTCTTTGTTATTTTTCATTTCATTTAGATACTATCGTATTGAACATTTTACATTTTTCGACCAGATAGCAGTGCTGAACAGAACGTTTCAGTATGTATCGGAGTCCGTAACCAAAATGGATCTTATGAACCTCTGCCTCTACGCTGTAGCGAGACTCATACCTCCATATGCAAGAATGCTGACATAACGACAGGTTAATATTAAATCTTATTTCTTGCGTTTTCATAAATGTTTAAAGCCGCCTCAAAAAAAAAAAAAACAAAACAAAACAAAACAAAAAAAAAAAAAAAAACAAAAAAAAAAAAAAAAAAAAAAGAAAAAAAAAGAAAGAAAGAATGTAGGAAGAATTAAGAAATAATGTATCATTTTTAAACATCTATCGGGAAATATTTACATTTCCAATGTCTTTGTCCGAGATAAAATTACAAATTGTAAAAATACTTTATTTCTACATAAATCTACTGGTTCATCAATAGGCGCGGTTAAAAAAAAATCACGTGCGGGGCGGGACAAATAGAGACAGAAGCGGGGCTATTAGCACGGAAATTTGCAGAATCAGGAGCATGTAAATATAAGGAATAACTGTCAGATTTTTTGGATTCATGACGATGATCAATCGATTGGCTTGCGTGATAATTTTATGCATAAACGCCTTCGGCGTTTATGCAAATTATCACGCAAGCCACTCGATTGATCACATCATGAATCCAAAAAATTAGACAGTTATTCCTTAAATAAATACGGGTTGGTCACGAGATCAAATTATATGGTAAATTTGATCTCGTACCAATCCGTATATATATCCCGATAGATGTTTAAAAATTATATATTATTACTTATATTTATATACATGACTTATTCATATTTTATAATTTCCTGATTAATGCGTGAAATCTTTTATTTTTCGAACTCAACGACTCGTATTTGATCCATTGATTGCGTGTCGACCCTTCATGACGTCACTGAGAAAATTACGTCGATTGATTGATTGTATGTTGTTTTACGTCCCATTCGAGAATTTTACACTCATATAGAGACGTCATCATATACCGGTGAAGGGCTTCAAATGTTGACATTTACTCGGCACTCTGGGGAATTGAGCAGTGAGGGATCTTTATCGTGCCAACGCCTCCCGTGTCACGGGGCCTCGGTTTTTAAGATCTCATCCGAAGTACCCGCAACTTTCACTTCAAAGTGCCGAGCGCATGGCGAATGAACAGTTGTTACCCATTTTTTATCGACTTACGTCAGTCGCGGCCGGGATTCGAACTCAGGACCCACCGAACACGGAGCGAGCGCTCTACCGACTGATCTGCCGTGAAAGTCGAATGTTTATGACGCGAGGAACCCGTGTTTAAACGGATATAGATACGCGTTGCTTTTAATAGTGTGATATAAAAGAAAACATTTGCAAATGTAAATATATATAAATAAACAAAAAGAAAGAACGAACAAACAAAGAAAAGAGAAGAAAGAAAACTAATATCCCCTAAAATTTTGTTCACTGAGTACATCTTCCTGATGTTAATAAAGATTAAATATTTTTAGAAATTGCATTTACTTGATATACTGTATTTGATGTCTAATATAAATACAGATACCATAACTACATATTAATGATATGTAGTTACTCCTTAAATATATAAGAAATAGTTAAAAAAAAAAAGAAAGAAAGAAAGAAAAGAAATATGTCAGGCATGTGTGCGATACGAACACATTATTTTATTTAATATTTTGAACATTGATGAAAAAGTCTGAATAATTACAGGACCAATTATAATAATGAGTCTACCTATTTATTTGCAATGCTACGTGTGAACTATCACGAATGATAATTTTTTCAGTGGAAAATTATTACTAGATACGAATTTGTAGATGTAAATCGTCAACTTCCCTTATTTATGCAGCAACATACGTTTATCACCTGCATATGGAGTTTATATCTCCGAGTTGGTTCATGTTCTACTTATGAACAATTTCTAAAAGGAGGCAAGCTATTGACAAATAAGTTGATACCAGAATATCAACAGTCCCGTTTAAAGTCAAAATTTTGCAAAATCCTTCGCTGAAACAATTACTTTGTTAGCAAATACTATCTATTTTTAATTCGAACGTTGACTGACTTTTCCCCCACAGTTTGTTAGACTATTATTTTCACACTGAATTGCCTACGGTTTTTTCCGTTTTTCCGATCATGACAAGGAGCATGCAGCGGGTGTGACCGATCGACAGGGGATGCTTGCTCATCCATGGCACCTGATCTGATTCAGCTCTGCACTTTTTGGAGGTCCGTTCTTTCTCTGCTCCCAATATGTAATGTTCCAATAGACTATTGAGCTTACTTTCTATTCGTTATCTTTGTGGTGATATTTTAACAAGAATCTTTTTTAAAAAAAACAAGCGGATCACAATAAAACGTCAAGTACATATATAAATTACAAGCGTAATAAAATTCTCTTTATAGAATAATGGAGTATTAAGTTATTCAAATGGATCTGAAAGATCACAATTGTTAATTTTTCTGCCATTCGAATTTAATGGTGATTTAATAAACGAAAAAATCCCAAGAAAAGGCTGCAATCGAGGCACAAACGTGTAAAAATAATGTGTAAAGCTTATTAGAACTGTTCAGAGACCGTTTCTTGTAGCATTGCATATAAACTTTGCAGTTTGTACAATCACAAACCGTTTCGTGTATAACAAACAAGACCAAAAAAGAAAAAAAAAGTCTTAGACAAATCAGAAAAGAAAGCAATGAAATTGCATTCAAAGCTCCTTCTTGTAAAGATAATATCTATTCTATTTACGCGCTTTACTACATCTATGTCCGGTACATGTACATTTCGTACATCTACAGATTAAATATTTTTATAAATTGTGAATAGTTGATATATTTTATATGTAGATACAAATACAGTTCGGACCACAATATCTAATTTTGAAACGGAGAGAGGACAAAGAACGGTTATTCATCAGACAGAAGGTTAATGATTGTCAGAACGACAATGTTTGTCATACGCACTACATACTTTGTCGAATTCTTTTTTCCACAGTCTATAAATAAAGAGTACTCTCTTTATCTTCTTACATCTTCAATTAAATATAAAATATAATTGTTTTGATAAGCAATTATGGACCCGAAAAAATAGGAAGGTGTTCCTCCTCGAGTTTATGTAGAATGTAGAGATAGAAATATTAACTTTGTTATTTATGAAAAAATCTTGCAATAAAGATTCAACTGAATATACATGTACAATATTACGAATGAGAAAGACCTCTTTCAGCTCGATATCGTAATTGAAAAAATCATGATGATGATCTTTTTAGCCTGGAACTTAAAACAAACGGATAACAAACAAAACAACATTTTTATTAACAATTTGATAAATATTTTAATTGATTTATACGAATTTATTAATTTGTTTGTTTTACTTCCCTTTTCGAATTTTTAAATCATATGCCACTAATTACCGGTGGACAGCTGCATTAAGCAGTGAGAGATCGTTTCGTGTTAGCACTTACTGCGATATGGGACCTCGATTAAAATGGTTTCATCTGATGAATTCGTCTTTTTGTTATACAGTAGGATTCGAATCCGCGACGTAAGGATCAACTACTTACTCTAAGAGTATAAAATAAAACGTTCTAACCACCATTCAGGCAACTATTTAGTATTGATTTACAAGTTTAAAGTAATTGCATTGTGAATGATCACGATTGTTAATAATTCAATCATTTGACTATAATCATTTTAGTACTTTTCCATAGAATGCGAAAAAAGGCAAAAGCACGCGAAAATAGTACACTTATGTTATTGTGTACTATAAAGTTTTCAGCATTTAGTGCAAGCCATATTGTGTATTCAGGCAATCAAACAAAAAAAAAAGTAATCACGTGATTTTTATCAGCCTCCCGCTGCATGCTTTACAAAAGGGCAACACTAATAACCAGCAATAAAATGAGCAAAAGTACATAGAAAAAACCCCTTAGCCAATTGAAAAAGAAAAAAGAAGAATGCATTCCGACCATCTATTTTCCATTTCTTCAATGCATTTTATTGCATGTGTATCTTATCTTATCTCTGTCTCTGCATGATAAACATTGAGTTTCTTTAAAACTTGTAAATAATTGATATATTTTTAATACAGATACAATTACACCGCATACTACAAGTCCTGGTCTCAGATCATCGAAGGAACAAACGACGTTTGGGCACCAAGTAACAGGCTCATCTCCTGTAACTCGTCAGAAAGACAACAATGGTTACTTTACCAACCTACTTCACACTTTCTTGGTTAACCTTTTTACCACTGTTTTAATATAGAGGTTCTCTACTTACCGGTTTTATTTCAAGTTCATTTAAGAAATATTTTTTAAGCAGCTTTTGGGGGAAAATAGAAATGCTATTTCTTTCTCCAGTATATATAGACTATGTTATAATCCAAAATATTTTGATATACAAATCACATAATACAATTAAGGTTTTGAAATGTTACTACGTCATTGATAACTTCTCTTACAGTTTTTTGTGAGCAAAATATTTGATTTTTTCCGAGCGCAATTTGGAAACCATGGTAGTATCAGTTATATTTTAATGCAGTTATCTGTTAAACTTTTATATAAAGAATAAAAATATTTATTTAAACTTTGATGCAGAAACACCAGTTTCATCGATGCCTTTTATCATTGGAAGTGTCGTGGGAGGCCTCCTTTGTATCATAATTGTCGTTACTATTATCATCGTCCTTTTCATTAAGAGAAGGTAAATCCACATGCAGGAATTAATCTTTAATAAGTAGTAAAAATGATTTCTTTACATCAATACAAATTTGCATTTAATTTTTATAATAGTCACCTTGAACATTTATTCAAAAATGTGAAATATTCAGCAACAACCAAAAAAAAAAAGCAATTAAAAGCGATAAAAATATGGGTACAAACAATGCTACAATTCTTACCGCAATGATTTAGATTTATTTGTCTATGTGTTTCTTCAGGAAAATATGCGCTTTATATTGTGCTATGCAAGTTTTAAATTTAGAAATTTTATGATTTTCCTGGCAAATTACTATTGAATATAATTTTTACCCTTTTTAAATAATCATTATTAATTATTTTCACTTATCTAAAGTTAAAAATATCTAAGCTCAAATCTTCTGTCTTGTCAGGCGTCCACATAGAAAAGAGAAATCTCACCCGGCTCCGACAGAGAATATTTATTACAGTGAAATGAAAGAAGACAGGATAACACATTTAGTAATGGTGAAAGAAGAGCCATCACCTACCATAAACAATACAGACTACGATACTACGTTTTTAGTCAACAAAGAGAGGATAACTGACGATTCTGAAGAGTATGGGAAGTTACTGCCCAATGGTGAAACAGACGTGTATAATCACACTTGGGATAAACCAATCACAGGACAGCTTACAGATCATGTGTATAGCACTACCTTGTCCGGAAATGACGCAAATGTTTACGATCACACAGATACTAATAATGCAAAGTTAACTAAAGTCAATGATGAGAATAGAACAATCTCAACTAGAAATGATGCATATTTGTATGATCACACAGAAGCTAAATATTCAGACAAAATTGAATGATGAAGAGTATGGTTTCAGATATTAAGATCAATTTACCTTGTCATGTACGACAACCAGATTTAATATACTCACTAGTGGAGTTCTCTACTCAAGATTTTTTGTGTTTTTATACAAACGAAACAATGTCTTTTAATATATATATTTTTACATTTTCAAATGCTTTATTCCGAGATAAAACTAGAAATAATGTAATAGCTTTACAACTACATAAAGTGATTGCTTAGCAAGTGACAAAACCCTATGCTTTCTCGCTGTTTGTTATTTAGTAATACACTGGGCCGGACTTGCAGAGATTTCTCATTATTGAATAAAAATATTTTGTTTAATAAATTTGTCAATTATACTATGTATTGATATATTTTAATTGATTCATCATTTATTTAGTAATAAATGACAAGTCAACTTCCAGCCTAGCGTTTTTATTTGTGTCAAACAGAGCACTACCACATCAGGTATTCATAAAGTCATTTATTTCATTATGTAAAAGGTGAATATTACAAGCAGTGATCGATCTCAAAAAATCTATAAACAATACAAATATGTGAAGAGGGCATAAAACACCAACCCCTGTAAATTCCAATGTTGGGATCAGGTGCCTAAATGAAATAATGCAATACAATTCATATGTTTTAGAATTGATTTTTTATGTCATATTTATCTTTGATTCAGAAAATATCAGTACCTCTCAATTCTGAAAATTTAGGTTTATTCACAGTCTAAATCTTAAACTTGATCTTCATGTTAAAGACCTAATTTTGGCAAAGTGTTTATTTATATATCCAAAAATATAATGATAATAATAATAATAATAAATAGAATAAAATATAATATAATTAGATAAATATAAAAATTAAAAAAATATAACTTGGTGTTCTTAAACATGATTTTGATGTGTCATTTATGTTTATTGGCCTTTAAATCTCAAACAATTCAATTTATTGCATGCAGTTCTCCAAAAGCACGAAAAAATACCCCCTAAATAATTTGCAGTTCTTTCTTTGGAAAGAATTAGACCATTTTTAGAAATATTTACATTGCTAGGTTAAAGGCTTGACAGTGGAAGGTATACGCAATTTACACATTTTCAATCAGGAATTATTTTATGATGAAAATTGCCATTCTATGCATGCCACTCTATAAATACACATGGAACTAGGATGATATTTAGACATTTCAATTTATTTTATTTCTTTTGTAAGAAATGATCTCTTTTAGTTTGATAAAACTTCTGCAAAAAATGAGTAACTCTGTATTGATCAGGTAATTGGAGAAATCCGGTGTGAAAATTTGCATATGAATATTTATTGTTTTTTCCTTTTGAATTTCGATGAAAAAAATTTCCAGGTTTTTACAAGCCTTTTACAGAATCGCTTGATTATTATCTTGTGTCGAATAATCTACAAAGCCAATATCAATCTGGATTTAAGAAATATCTAGGGACCACTGAGAATATATTGTATTAATACACATGTAAACAGATATCTTTATTGTATAAATAAACTTGTAAACACATATCTTTATTCAAAGAAACAGAATTTATATGTGTGCATCGTAGATTTTTCAAAAATTTTGATACTTTGTGGAGATCTGCATTTTTATACAAATTGAAAAAATGCAACATTTATACAAATACATACTATTATTGTAAAAAAGGACAATCAAATCAGTGAAAAATTTAAAGCAAATAGAGGAGTCAGACAAGGTGATAATTTAAGGAAGCTCTAAACACTAATGAAAAATGCTTTTTGGGCTTTGAGAAAAATATATCATAAAAAGGTGCACATATTCAGTGTATCTAGTTCATTTTCAACATAGGGTGCCTGCCTTATTTCTGCAGGAAAAATGTTCAAAGACAATGAACTATCTGTGAACAGAAATCACTGTTGTTTACTTGCATCGGGAAAATTAATGGAAATAATGTATTCAATTACTTAATCTTGGCCTAACATAACACTAAGAATACTTTAATTCATAAGAAATTGTACCATTAACTGTAGATTCCCATTTATACTATTTTTCTTCTAAGGGCAGATCACTCTAACTCAATAAAACTACCCAACAAATAGAATTCTTTAGTGTGCAGTGTTTACAGCTTCCTTAAATCCAACACTTTTCAATATCTTTGTTGATGATACTGGGAATTATTTTAAGAATGTAAGCACATATCCTGCATATCTAGATACTATGCCAATTAATCATATGTTTTTGCTGATGATCTCATCCTTGTATCAGAATCAGAAGTTGGTCTACAAAAATTTGTAGATTTGTTGGGAAAATATTGTTCAGACTGGAAATCGTGTGTTAATATAAAAAAACCCAGATACTATGATTTTTTCAAGAAAATTAGTTGATGGAACATCATTTTGATTTTATCTTTAACATAAAGGTGTTATAAAAAAAAAATGAAATTTGCAGCTGAGCAACATCAGGCGCCGGGGCCATAAAACTTAGAAAAGCTCACTTTTGATCTTGATCTCACTTTTCCACTATTAATTCCTTTTTGTAAAAGTGAGACTAAGATCAAAAGTGAGCTCATCTAAGTTTCACACCCCAGAGCCAGAACGTGCTGGGAAAGCATACGATGCTGTTAAATTAAATTCCCCTGCAAATATTATATTTTTAGCTGAAATTATGTTAAAATTATATCAGTCAATGATAATACCAATTTTCAAATATGGATAACTGACTTTAAATGTGGTTTAATGTCTTCTGACCAATTTCATTTTTAAAACACAACACGTAATATTTGAAGACATACATTAAATGTAGCTGTTTTATGTGAAATAGGACGTTTTCTTTGTACTAATATTTAATATTCCCAACACCAAAATGAATTTGAATTACCATATTTATATTGGATTCCGAAACTTTATAAAAGTCCTTACAAATTAAGATACATAGCGGGTTCCAGTAAATACTCCACCGAGCCTCTTTCTTTACTCCTCACTAAAATATTAACAGAAGTGAAGGAGAAACTTCAGGAGTACTGTGCAATGATATATTCGAGAAGTGGTGTAAATCAGATGTGGATACTTAAATATTCCAAGGAACCTTTGGAAAATTTGAAATCACAAAATTTTACCAAAATCAATAACATAAAAACTTACTTTTCAACTCTGTATACAACCATTCCACACGATAAATTTAAGGACATACACAACGTAGTTTGAACTTTATTGTCTTTTTCCCTGGAGTTGAAGAGTTCCAATACTTAAAGTAACTGTGTGCTACATTTGTATGTCTATATATGCTGTTGTACACTTCTTCTAAAATAAGTTTGGATAAACAAAACATATAGAATATTTGTTTAGTAATATTTGTGTATTTTTCTTTGAATTATACAAGACTTTTCATCCTGTAATGCATGCTGAATTTTATTTACGAACATCTGATGGCACTATAATCTTAAATTAAGAATATCTTGAAAAATTATCAGTATGTAAGGTACGTTGCGTATGTCCTTAAGTCCAGGCTTTTTGACATAATTGACAGCTCCTTTTTATATTAAAAACACTCTGTATTGTTGACGGATTTTTCCGTTGTTTACCAATCATGACAAGGAGCACACGGTGGGTGTGACCGGTCGGCGGGGGATGCTCACTCCTCCATGGCACCTGATCCCACCTCTGATCTTTTTGGAGGTCCGTCTTTGCTCTGCTCCCGGTTTGTATTGCTTAAGTGGACTTTGGCTTGGGTGCTGTTCGTTAGCTCAATATTTCATTTGATAAAATTTTGTGATTTGTTGTATTTCGGTAATGTAGAAATAAAAAAGAGTAATTCTATTTTGCTAGTGGTACTTTGGAATCTACAATATTTTGTGATTTTTGTGATTTTTTTGTGCATTTTATTATTTGCTTCAGTTATTTGTTATCTATAAGTAATAACTTTAAAAATAAAGCAGGAATTTTACATTAGTTAAAGTTGTTGAAATTCTGTTACATATTTAACCTTAATTTTTTGTTTGGATATTAGTGGAAGTGTATTTTTTTGACATGGGAATATTTTTTGTGCAAGAATTAAAACATTATAAATTGATGATAATTTTGAAATAAAAGTAAATTGTATTCTTTTAACGTTATATCAAAAAAGTTTCTACATTATTTTTTTTTTACAGGTTTAACAGGTTGAATTTTAGATTCAATAATATTAATCAAACAATACTTTTCTGCCCCAGAGAATATAAAGGTTTTAATTATATAATTTCGGTGGCAGAAAAAATGAAGAAATTTAAGAAATTACAGGAGGGTAGTGTGCATGCGCGCGTGTGTGTTACACCAATCTTTAAAATTATAAAAAAAAAAAATAGGAAAAAACTTAATACTTTTATCTATCTATGAACAGTTTCAGAAACCATTGTCTAGTATCAACACTTGTAACAGTACTCAAAATAATTTTTCTAATAAATGGATTTCGATTATACTTTTAGACAGATGGAATGGACTTTGAGTACTTCACTTAAAAAGATTTTTCAAACCCTGACTATTTATCTGAATTAATAATATATTTTATAAGTTTAATAGCTGTTTAACATCTTAGTTTTAAAGTGATTTTATTTATTATTTCCTTTATGATGTGCAATGTAAAAATAAATCACAATGTTCTGATAAATGAATCACCTTATATTTGGAAAGGCCTGAAACGTGAAGTATCGAGTATGCAATTTCCCTATTTTCTTTTGATGATGTTCAATGACTCTCGTTTGTTTATAATGATTATTGCGAGGACCATTGGGCTATTTTGCATAAAATTCAGAAAACCTAAAGAATACAGAAAATCATTTTACTTTAAAGCACTTTAAGGCGTATCATAAATTAAGTAACAGGAAGGATATATGTACATGTATGGTGAATGTTTAAAAACTGGGACGACAGAAAGTGTGGAATTCCCCAATTTAAATTGTGTTAACTTTATGATTTCAATGAGGACATTTTATTTGAGATATACAATGGGGGGCACACTTCTTTGTGGAAGTTTTCTTATTTTGATTCTAATTCGTCATTCTCGGGCATACGAAGATGTCGACAAAGGTAAAACTTTAATAATTATTCTGTTATTTTTAATTTTGTTCTAGACCTTTATTGTAATTTCCAAGAAAGACAGTAGTTGATGAATTTTATAAGCCTAATATTAGAATAAAGGGCGTGGTCTATGCTTTAGTACAATCAAAAATGGCCTCAAAAGTATTGATATTGATCATGTACTAAATACATGGAAGAAAAATCGGTCTTCAGACTTAAACATGAGGATTGGCCTTGGAAATATTTCTCTTCCTTGTTTTAACTGATAACATCGGATAGACCTCTACAGATTAAGCCAACATTCATATTTGTATACAAAGCAAAGTATTTTAAAGTCATATTCTCCTTCACTGCTCAGACTCAATTATTATTATTGAAAGAAGTGGAAAGAATTTTCCTGATCAGAGATCTAATTCTCATGTGAACTTTAACTTATTATACCAAATAGAAGTTACCCAAAACTATATTGTTGGTTATGTGCAGAATTCTGATAAGCGTGACCATTACGACACCACGGAATTACTAATCTGCACTTTATCAATCGCTTTGTATTGGGTGGGCAAAATATCTTTATAGCTATTTAAAAGGAAAAGCACTACACGTACGGTTTATTTGAATTCTAAAATGAACAGACCAGCCTGGTTGAAATCAGAGGAGAATAAAATGTTTTCGCTGAAAAATGCTTTTCAAGACATTGCTGAAACAATGACAATTTTACATTGATTTGTTTCATTAACATGCATCCATTATCTCAAAAATTGTTTCATATTATTTACAACAAATTGAGCCATCTTCCTTGAAATTGCATGGATGCAAAAAGGTTGACGAGACTTTTGATCGTCTTTTTTTAATTTTCAAACTTAAAACATGAAATATCTGGTCTATGATGGAAGAAATATAATTTTCTAGGTTTTAATTATTCTTCTATAGGGTTGGCAAAGAAGCACTTTCTGAATGACGTTTAGTAGCCTATAGCAGTTTATGGAATCCTTTTCTATGGATATCCTGCTATATATAAAACACTCTATGGAAACCGTTTTCTATTGTTATATAATGGCCATATACACGTAGCAGTCTATATTTACCTTATTAAATCTTATAACTTGAAAAGCTAACAATTTTCGTATTCAATCTTTATATGATTATCAGATACATTTATCATGTTCAATATTTTTAGTTTAAAGGTGCTTAGACACAGATTTGAACTTAATATTTTCTCACATTTTCTGTATAATATCGCGACTTATATATTGGAATAGCATTTCACATGAAAATATAATTAAAAACTTATTTTATCTGGAAATTATTGGAACTGCGAATTCCGGGACGCGTTTGATTAACAGATCTTTGCACTTACTGTTTAAGAAAAGAAGCGATTTTGTTATGTATTAATGAAAAATATTACATCTATAATCCAGAAAATTCCGAGTAGAAATGTTCGAAAGCAAAACCAACTCACCAGTATTGTCAGTCCGTGCTCTGTGATGTGTATAGAGTTTAACAATGGAACACACCCGTGAAACTCTTTTGTAAACAGGACACGAGCTCTGTTATTGTTAATGTTTACGATTCACCGGGTGTGTTCAATTGTTAAACTCTGCACACACCACTGAGCACGGACTTACAATACTGTGAGTGGGTTTTTGCTTTCGAACATTCCTACTCTGAATTTTCTGGGTTATAGTTTTAATATTTTTTTTATTAATACTCAACAAAATTGCCACTTTTCTTAAGTATTAAGAATAAAATTAAAATATGTGAAAGCGCAAGGATGTGTCAATCCAACGCGTCCAGAAATTCGAAGTTTTAATAACTTCGAGATGAATAAGATTTTTATTATATTTTAGTATGAAATGCTATAGCAACATATAATTCATGAAATTATAAAGAAAATTTGAGAAAATATTAACTTAAAATCTGTGTCCAAGCACCTTTAATGGGAGAGGTATATATAAAATCTCCTTAGGCTGTTATAAATTTTGTAATTACCCCCTTCAAGCAATAAAAAATGCATGGTAAAAGAATGAAAAACATTTTTACTACGATAGATTTGTGCATTAAAGAGACTATGCGGACTTGGAGTGAAGCGTCAAAAAGTTGTATTTTGGTGGTATCCAATACACCTCTCAGTCTTGGTGTTCCAATTAAAGATATCCCTGTTCTCATACATAGATCCTCTGCTCCGACCAACATGTTTAAGGATGTTCACTGGATAGGGGCCACAGGAACATTCACTCCATGGTTTGAACTAGCAGGTAGTTTGAGTTTTATTATAGATATATATGATGGTTTAATTTTTTTTGTTGTACGTCAGTTCCGTTCATGTAATATTTCCTTAAAGGAGCAAATGTGTGCGAATGGAATATATTAAACAAGAAACAAACAAAAAAAAAACAAATGAGGCCGATATAAAATCTTGTAGATATGGAAAAAAATCCCATTCAAATAAAGATCCTTTGCTATTTCAAAGTTAGTTACTATCCAATGCATCCGATTAAAATGGAAATAATTTGCTCAGTTTGAAAGGTAGCTTAATTTAAAGAAGTCTTCATAGCTTTCTCACTACTGAAAAAAAAATTATCATACGTCTTTGTTGTTGCAAAAAGTTGCAAGGCCCTGTAAAAAGCGATATTTAAAGCTTGTTATCTTCCCAGGATGCAAACTGTATAATTCCTTTCCGTTCAATAAACAATGGATGCCCAGTTCAAAACTTGGTCCTGTTGCTCAATGTCATCAAATATGTGAAAACTGGAGGAACAGCTACAAGAGATTTGGAATAAACGTAAGTGTATCCACGTAAGAAAGCGTAATATTAAAAAGTTTCGACCCAATTTGTTTACTTGACGTTAAATTTACAACGATATTAATTTACACTTTATTTCCTTTACAAAGGGTGAAAGTATTTTTTCCCCACAAATTTTATATATATATGTTTTTCAAAAATAAAATAAAGTATATGTAGTCTTAATAACACAATTTATTTTTAAATAAGATTCTTTGTCGCAGAAAGGAACAACAAAGAAATTTTGAATACTCTCTCCCTAAAGGGGTAATAAGACAAGTCTAAACTTTTAGCCCAAATGGCATGATGGGGCCGTAATAGACGTTCAATGTTCTGCTGTGCGTCATGTTTTCGTTTGGGGAACATATTGTTTTTACTCTATTTTTCTTCGTCTTCCTTGGTACTTCTTTGTCAGCGAGTGATCTCAGAAACTACACATCCGAATGAGGTGAACCCTTTTTAGGATTAAAAGGCATGTTGTGTAGATTTTCGGAACGAAGGTCATTTTGAGCACACATGCATGCACGTGCTTGCGCGTGCGATGCGTGAAATGACTGATATACATTATGTAGATGTAACTTTTATATTTTTTGATGAAATGCTTTGAAACTCAAGACATAAAGATATATTAGTGGTCTAGAAAAAATGGCATTGTCAAATTAGCATGAACCCACGCGTATGCAATTATGCTTTGCTCTGATTGGCTGAATCAAAAATTTCAATAACCTCCTTGTTTTATGACAAAATACTTTGAAATTTGAAATACAGGTAAATATAGAATGTTTCATAATATATGTGACATTTTGAATCTACAAATTGACAAACACAAGAAAAAGATACATTCGACTGTTTTCATCAATTTAATACACGTATCCACTAGATTCCTCAACTAAAATGACCAGCCAAAATATTAAACACTGGACGGAATATCAACCATATTAAAAATAAGCACTATTTCTAAATTGCGTAATTTTTAAGTTGAATTTCACAACGTCAAGACCTCATGTTCTAAATGATCTCCGCCTATTTCAACTATAAAAGAAAGTTGCTTCTGGAAATTTTTATAACAATTGTCGCAATTTTTTGGTGAGACACTCCTCACCTGAGATTTATGTTCTTTTTGAGATCATTCAGTAGGAGGAATCTAGGATTGTAGACCCTGTTCTTGAGACACCCCAGAGAAAAAAGGTCCAACAATTCAGATCTGGCGGAAGCAGGCACCAAACTCTTTCTTTGGGGGTGTTGCATTATTGAGAATTGGTATGTTGACAACTTCAAATGATATTTTAAAATTCAGTACACACTGAAAATGCTGATATTTCCAACATCAATTTCTGAAATTATCTGACACTTTTCAAAGGAATTTGTTAAATTATCAGGAGTCTCCACTTCAACAAGAACATTTTTGGTTCTTGAAGTCCATAGTCTTTTTGGATTATTGTGTCAATTCTCGCATATTGCTCATCCCTGTTCTTTTAAGGACATTGGCAAGGTTCCTGGTTATCGTATGGAATTTTTCAAGAACTCTTGAGTAGGTTTAATTGTACTAAACAGGCTATATTCTGGATTGTTTCACCTACCAAGCCAGTCTTCTTTTTTAGATTTTGTAAAATCAGTCTTTTTGCAATTCTCAATGCATTTCCTATGTAAAATGTTGATAAAAGAGACCTACATAATTTTTCACCATAATATTTCTCCAAAACCCACTTATTTCATATAGTTTTTATATTATATACATTACTTATTATTGTATCTTCATTTCCTCTGACTTCAAGATATTTTGGCTGAAAATGTATACATAGAAACAAGACAAGGACATACCGGCGCCAATCTTTATTTTTGAGTTACTTCCCTTCACAGCTTTAATTACATATTATTAATGATGGTTCAGAGAGTCAGACTGGTTGATTGATTCTATCATGTAATTGACTCAATTGATTGAAACACATTGTCATAAAAATATTGGCATGGAATTATTTCAAATTTTATTCGTAGTTACTAAATGCTGCTCCCTTCATACAACCTGAGAACTGATCTCAGTCGGTCTACCTTTCAGCATATTTCACATCTTTGCCCTTCCCAGCATACTGAGCATAACTATGGTAAATGAAGACCTGTTGGGTACTTTGTCCCCTGAATACAATTTACAACAAAGCAATTCATACTTTTCTTTCTTGTTGTATAGATGATTCTACCCGTCGAAGGAAGTACACGTGTTTTTGTTTAC